GATTATGTGACTGCCTCACCCAGATCTCCAGTGGCTGTTCTGTGACTGACATAAAATGCCCATGGCTTGGCTTACCTACCTTTCTCTCCTCCCTCTTCCTCTCTCTTTCCCTCCCCTTCCCATTCTTCCTCTCCCTCCTCTCTCCTTTCCCTCTCTTTTTATCTCCCTCTTCTTTTCCTGGTTCATGATGTCCCACATATAGCTCCCATTTTTGTTCCCCAAACACCCAGTTTATCCCTGCCTCAAAACTGCTTTTCCTGCTTGGAAGACACATACCTTACATTCTTGTTATTTTCACTTTAGTTCTGGGCAGGTATCACCAAGAAAGAGGTCTTGTCTTCATCCACAAACTTAAATTTACTCCTACCCTATCGTAGTCATGCTCTATATTTTATTTAATTTTCATAAAAATACTTTTGAAGTCCTTATTGATAGTTTATTCTATAGCTATCGTTTGCTTTTATGTAAATTCCATGAGAGGAGAAGCCTTATTTGTCATGTCTGGTACTATCTTTATGGCACCTAGCAGAGTTGCTATCACATTTTGCGTAGAAATTATGTGTCAACTGAATTAGTGAATGTTTGCTTTTAGGTTGAATGAATATTCAGTGGAGATTAAAAATTACTTTTGTGACTTTACATTGGCTATTTTTCATTTTCTGCTTTAAAGATATGAACTGTTGATTTCCATAATTTGAACATTTTAATTTTGTTTTATTTTTAAAAGATAAAATAGGATTTCTTTAGCCATCATTAATGTACTTCTCTTAAATAACACATTGCGGAATGTATTGTCCTTATACCTCACGTGGAAACCAGGCTTTATTTGTAGCTCGATATTCTCACTGTCCTTTAAAAATCGGATTGTGAAATACTGGAGACACTTAAGTACTGTAAACAGATTATGCTCATGTGGATTTCAGCTTTTGGAACTAATGGAAATCATCTTGAACTTAGAATTACTGTTTTTTATTTTGTGCTTTTTAAATTATAGTTTTCCTTACCTATTTTGCCTCAAGCCAGTTGACCTGTCTGCATATATATGAAATAATACTGGAGAATAAATGCAACTTAAAACTGTATTGTACTCAAAACTGTTATTCAGCAATAAGCTAAATGATAGCCTTAGTAACTTTTAGTAGTAATCACATCCAATTTCCACTAACCCCTGAGCATTGTAGTACCCTGAGTGCATGTCATAGGTTCCAAACTGACTTTGAAATTAAGTTTTAAGTCTGTGTTGTATTTACTTTGAGTAAGTCCAATTTACCATTTTTTTAAAAATAAATAATGCTTTGGTTGTGACAAAAACTCTGACTCTGTTCTCTTTTTCTTTTTAAAGAATTTTTACACTTACACATTTATTCATTTATATGAGTCACTCTGGTATATCTCACCAAATTAATTCAAAATATGCAGTGCACGTGAAGGCCCTTTGATTTATTTATTTTGGCATGTTGTGTGTTCAGTTGTTTGAAATCACTTAGTAAAACAAAACAGAACCACGGTCAGCTGACCGTGTGTGTGTGTGTGTGTGTGTGTGTGTGTGTGTGTGTGTGTGTGTAGGGTTATTTGAGAGCGCTGTGTTTCCATCAGTCTTGGATGCCCCTTCTTTGGCCAGTGCAGTACTACTGTCCTTTATTGTAAATTGATACGCAGTGTGAGTCCTTTGACTTGGTTCTTAAAGATTGTTTTGATTACTGTAGTTTCTTTGCTTTTGCATTTAATCTTTGATTCAGCTTGGAGTCCTGCCCACTGTGTGTTTGAGATTGTGTTTAATCTTACCAATCTGTCTGAGGAGAATTAGCATTATAATAATAAACAGCGATCTGAATATGGTGAACTCCTCTATTTCTTTAAGATCACCCTGACAGTTTCATCACTGTTGTGTTTAGTAAGTCATGTACAGAGTTGGTTAGATTTTGTTTTGTTGCTGTTGCGACTGAACCCCGGGCTTCTTGTGTGTGGTACCCTCCCGGCGCTCCCTGAGTGAGGTTTAAGGTTTTAGAATTATTACTGCTTTGGGAGGTTTTGGAATTATTCCCCTCTTTAAAACTTCTTTCTGCAGTTTTTAATTTCTAGTGTACAGAGATACAAATGATTGTGTATGCTGACCTTGTCTCTGCTGCCTTATTAAACGTGTGAGTTCTAGGAGGTGGTTTAAGATCCCTGGGGCTTTTTTGCATAGAAAATCATGTGTGCACAGCTACAGTTGCAGTTACTTTCTTACCTGCCTGTCTTTTATTTCTTTTTTTGTTGCCTTCTTGCACTTAATAGGGTTTCTAGTATGACATGGGACGTGAGTGATGGAAACAGATGCTTTGCCTTCTTCCTAATTGAGGGCAAGAAAAATTTATTCTTTCACCAGTCATTGTGATCTGAGGTGTAGGCATTTGTAGAGAACCTTTTTACCAGGCTAAGACTTTACTTTACAATTTGATTTATTTTTCTTATCATGAAACAATACTGAATTTTGTCAACTACCTTTTCTCCTATCTATGAAGGCCATGTATTAGAAAACCTTTCCATGTGGTAAATTTGGGTGATTATTTTTTTTTAAATGTTGAACCTGTCATGGAGAAGGACTTCATGGAAATAAGCCATACTTGGTTATGGTATTTCATCCTTTTTATGTATAGCTGTGTTTGCACATGTATTTTTAAAATAGTAATGAAAACAAATACTGTTACTTACACCCACATAAATCGTAAAACATACTTGAAAATCATGACCCATTGGCTCAGTAACACAGTCAGTAGATGGTGGCGGTTGCTGTGCACCACGTTCTGGTGCTGGAGACCAGAACATGGCCCATATCCTTCCTTTGTGCTGTGAAGAACGATGCGAGGGTACGGGAATGGAAGGTGAGTTAAATGAGCAGATAAAGCGATTGCAGATACACTAGTCAGGGAAGGACCTGGCAGAGACCCTAGAGCAGAGACACGGAAGTGAGAATGCAGGACGTCTCCTATGGAGGCCGCTGTTCCAGGCAGAGACGGCAGAAGGCACAGTGACAGTGTCAGAAGCGAGGGGAGTTTCAAGTGTGGTACGGAGGCTGGCCAGCGTGTAGAGTTCAGGAGTCCAGGGAGCGGATGTGGAAGGTGCGGCCAGGGACTTGACAGTGGAGAAGGTGTAGCCATGTGCTGTGGCACCTACCTCTCTACTCACCAGATATTTAATAAGCGCTTGGTGTGTGTCACATATATAGCATTTTAAAAGAACAGTAATCCAGTCCCTCTTAGCGCTTGTAAGTGTTAGTGATAAATGTAGTTGTTGATGTGATGTAAACGTAGCCAGCAGTGGTATTCAGTTGGCTAATGTTACACAAAACAATTGTGTATCTAAATAATTTGAGTAACTAAGTCCACTTACTTTATTTTAAGGTACATAAAGGAGAAATGCTTATTTTTTGAATGTCATTGGTTGCAGTATACAGAGACCGATTTCAGGCTAGAATTTTTGGTTGTTTTAAGCAGGGGGTAGAGAAGGACCCCAGTACATCGGGGGCTAGAGGCTGGGGCCTGCCTGGGCCCTTCAGAGACGGGAGCTCAAAAGTCCATATTCACGTTCAAGTGTGTTAGTTACCTAGTGCTGGGTAAGAAAATATTCTACAGGGTAGTGACTCGAACATTTATTCCTCGTAGTTTGTTTGTGCTCAGAGGCTCGGTGTGGCTTAGCTGGTGGCCTGAGGCTGCTGCGGGGAGTGGTGGCAGCACAGCCGTCCTCAGTGTTGCTTCTCAGGCCTTCCCCGGGCTGCTGGCATCTGTCCACGGCTCCTGGTGGCCTGGTGGCAGGAAGGGGCGCTGCTTTGCGGTGGGTCTTCCCAGCTCTCAGGAAGCCAGCTCCCCTGAAAGAAGGTAAGGCGGAAGCCACGGCTTCTCTACGGCTTATTCTCCCATGTCGCAGCCATCACTTCTGCTGCGTTCGGTCACCGAGTGAGTCAGCTCAGTCGGGTCCTGCTCCAGATGACCACACAGGGCCTCAGTGCAGACGGGACTGCTAGGATTGTTTTGGAGGACTCCCGTCACCAGCTGAATCTCAGCGCTTTCACAGTTTTCTACTTCTTTACTGTAAGTGAGCCTTACAATTTTCAATCTGTGTTTCTTTCCCTGTAAGTTATATTTTTCAACTAAAAATATCTATGTTTTCCCTACTACTTATTTGTAGTTTCCCCTTAGCTTTATCTAGGGACCTGGATGAAATGTCCTGCCTCATGGTCTTTTTTTTTTTGTGGTACTGGGGATCAAACTCATGATTTGACGCCTGCCAGGCTGGTGCTTATGTCCCTGAGTTAATCCCCAGCCCCTTTTGGTTTTTTTTTTTGAGACAGAGTTTCATTACGCAGTTCAAACTGGCCTTGAATTCACTATGTAGCCTAGGCTAGCCTCAAGCATGCAGAAATCCTCCTGCCTCGGCCTTGCAAGTGTTGGGATTACAGTCAGGTGCCACCATGGCCAGTCACCTCACGTTGTTTCATTCTCTATATCCATAGGATCCTCTTTGCAGTTTTTAGAAAGGGAAAAGGTAGGTGTGGGAAGAGATAAGAATATCATATCTTTTGAATATTAGCATACCATCAGCATTAAGGCAGGGTCCCTCAGAAAATAATTTAGATACTACGATTTAAATACTAAACATAAATGCTAAATACTATTGTGGATCTTTGTAGATTACAAAGTACAGGTCATTGAGTTGATCAAATAATAACTCAGGCTTTTAGAAGTACTACCTAATATTTTACAATAACTTTTTTACTTTCGTAAAAGATTGTAAAATGCAAATAAAATTGGTTTTTGTTTTCCTGGTTTTTAAAATATTTAGGATAAATGGATATCTGCTATGTATAGAATTATTGCTTATTTTTGAGATTTTATACAAAAGTATAAATTTTTAGACAGTTTATGGAGAGAACTATACAGAAATCTCTACATAGATATTATACAGTAAAATACATAGATATATAATATACATTATCACCTAGAATTAACTGTTGACATTCATTTTGCTTTTATTCTTTTTCCCCTAAGGAAAACAATTGTAGTTGAAATATGAGCCCTCTTACACCAGCGTTCTGTGTTGTGTTTTAAAGAACTTGATGCAGCTATGGTTAGAAGCTTGGTGGGGATTTTTCTGGCTTGCTTTTTATTCTTGTAAACATTTCTCTGCACACTGACATTGTGCGGCTTTATGTTTGTGTATTTGTATGGTACTATATACTTCTGTATTTTTGCTTTTTACCTTAATTGCTTTTCCAGGTCTTTTCATAAATTATTCTTTAGCTTTCAACACATTCGTTCGTCATGTTTTATTATCCATCCTCTTGTTTAGACATCGAGATTGTTTTGAAAAGGTGTTTTCCTGTTGCAGACTTTGCTCTCTTTTGTGCCTTTGACAAACATTTTCTACTTGATGGACAAATTACTGAGCAATTCATGGTCTCAGCAGATGTAAGAAATCTTGTTTACCTTCATCCTCATGATAAATGATGTTGTTAGACTTGAAAGAAGGTTGCTTTCTTAACCCAGTGCCATTCGCATGCCGTGGTCAGTGGAGTCCTTGCCGCTCTGTCCTTGCCCACTTGGAGGAGGGGTTCCTCATCTCTCCGGGTCTTAGCATTTGTCTGTTACGTCTGTTGGAGGTGGATGCCTTCTCCTTGTCTGTTATTTGGCTGTAATCTTTGTGATATTTTTAACATGGAAGGTTTTGTACCCTTTTTTCCTGTCTTGGTCATTTGTGCATAGAGTTTACAAAAATAAGCGTGAAGGAAGGGTTCAAGCTAGTATATGAAGACAGACAGTATAAGAGTAGCCATTTAAATAACTATGAAAAGTCATATGTTTACGTATTTTTAAGAGCTCATAACTGTTAATGATGTAAAAATTCTCCTTAGCAATTCAAGCTTTATCATTTTATTATTTTTACTTTTTGGTACCAGGGATCGAACTCACAGCCTTGCACTTGCTAGGCAGGTGCTTATGCCTCTGAGCTAAATCCCTGGCCCCACAAGCTTCATAATTTTAATGGTAGTGAGTTACCTTTTTGGTGAATCAGAATATAAGGCTTCACACTTTTTTTTTTTTTGATAAAATACAATGAAATTTATGTACTTAAAGGATTAATGTAGAGTTGGTATCTGGCAGTCTGCAGTGTTTTTCAAAGGAAGTAATGTCTTCTACAGAGATAACTATTGAAATCCATTTGTGAAGAAGAAAAAAAGCATTGCAGATAAATTTTCAGGAAACGTGATAAGAGATGGGAAAGGTCTTACTATCATATTATTTGTAACAGTTATGAATTTAGGTTTTTAATTTTGGATCAGTTCATTTAGGTCTTACGAAAATATTATGTTTCAGTTCTTAATGTTATTTTCAGATTTGACAGTTAAATTCAGAAATGAAAGTTTAGTGTTACTGTATTTCACAAAGATAAATAATTCTTTTTTGATGAAACTATAGAATTGAGTCTCATTTTCCAGTGTGGTTATAAGATTCCAAGTAGAATAATTTCTTTTAATCTGACTAAACATTATCAAAAAATGGAATTCTGCATCCACAGTTATTTCTCAAGCATCGTGATAAAGTTAAACCAGCCTACCTGCTTCCTCGCTTCCTTCCCTCCTTCCCTCCTCCTTGGGAGTGATGGGGATTAAGCTCAGGGCCTCAGCCTGCTATCCAGGTTCTCTACCGCTGAGCTGTACTCCTGGCCAGTGGTGTGCATCTTTAGTGGGCGTATTAGATACTAACCTTGTAGTCAGAGGGAAGAATAATAGCTTAGTCCTTTATTAGATAAAGTTGGAAGCTGAGAAATAAAGGAAAAATGGTTTTATATTTTAATCAGTAACATCAAGATATTTGTGCTTTTGGAAAAGTATAAGCATAAAACTTTTTCTAGATATATGGTCACTTATGTTTATATTATTTTAGGTTTCCAGTAATTCTCTGCAGGAATCGCCATGACCCCAGCTCTGAGGGAAGCAACAGCAAAGGGTCTCTGCTTTTCAGCTTTGCCAAGTGCCATGGAGTCTGACAAGATGCTGTGCATGGAGAGTGCGAGAACTATAGATGAAAATCTGAAGGGAGACGCTTTCTCTCAGTTGCTGGGATTTCCAACTCCGGAACCCACTCTTAACACTAATTTTGTGAATCTAAAACATTTTGGCTCTCCCCAGCCTTCAAAACATTATCAGACAGTTCTTCTAATGAGTTCTAATTCTACTTTAAATAAATACAATGAAAATTATAAACAAAAGAAGTCAGGGGAACCCAACTGCAATAAGCTGAGGAGCATCCTGCGTAACGGCAGCAATATTCAGCTCAGTACAGTGTGCCATTCGCGTTCTGAAGAGTTCATTAAGAAGGAACCTCTGTCAGATCCAAGCCAGTGCATGAAAGATACACAGGTCATTCTGGAGTCAAATCTGATTAAAGATACCAGTGCAGATACCAAAGCACAACTGCAAAACTGTAAACAGTTCCAAAAGAACGCCCTTTTGGATAAAGTTACTGATGCTGATGTTAAAAAGAGTTTATTGTACTGTGCTCAAAAGAAACCTGGACCTGGCCTCTCCAATGTGCCTAATAGTTCCTCAGCTGCTGTGAAAGAGGAGGAGGTGAATGCACGTTTACTTCACTGTGTAAGCAAACAGAAAATTTTACTGAGCCAGGCGAGAAGAACTCGGAAGCACTTGCAGATGCTCCTGGCAAAGCACGTTGTTGAGCACTATGGTCAGCAGATGAAATTTTCTATGAAGCATCAGCTGCCCCAAACGAAAAGTTTTCACGAACCTACCTCGGTTTTGGATCACAGTTTATCTAAGTGCACCGAAGTTAAGCCAGAGGTCAACGTACTGACTGCAGAGAATAAACTGTGCGTTGATACACAGAATGGCTTTGCTCGGTGCACGGCTGCAGAGATCCAGAAATTCGCACTGTCTGCAGCAGGGCTGCTGTCGCACGTCGAAGAGGGTCTGGATTCTGATGCAACTGACAGCAGCTCTGAGGATGATGCGGATGAATTTGCCATTAGAAGAAACGTGTCCGTGTAAGTGCAAACTCTTTGTTAGACCTTTTCCTGTTCTGTGTATTCCAGCACTTGGTTTCAGGGTATGCTAGAAGGAAACAGATTTTCTAAACTCTTAATGCCATAATCTTTAAGTTATAAAAGTTCAGTGAGTTTTTAAAATGTTTCCTTTGCTAAGCCATTGTGTGTGAATCGGATCTGCAGAGGATGTGCAAATCCTGTATAGAAAATGGTGCAGTACTGGTGTGTACATGCATCTCCTGTGCGCTTGAGATCTTCCCTGGGCTACCGATAGCCCGTACACCGAGAGCGCTGTGCCAGTGGTTGTTATAGTGCATTACTTAGGGAATAATGACAAGAAAGAAACCCATACAAAAGTCTATATAGTTCTTTTCCTGTTTGTGGTATGTGGTTGGTGGAGTCTGCAGATGCAGAATCTGTTGATAGAGGTCTGACCCAATACATACTATTGAAAAATAATTCAGCTGTTCTGTTTAGGGAAAACTCATGCAGGAGTAATAACACTAATTAGCTGCAAGTAAGCCCTCTTCTATTTTATAAATGTAATAAAAGCAAAATCTTTTGATTAAGTGACCCAGCCATTAAGAATGGCCTAAACTAAAAAAAAAAAAAAAAAACAAACATTGAGATCTGCACATTGGAAGTCTTCAGTGGCACTAAGGATTTGTCAGATGAGAGAACATAGACATTTATCTGCTACTTTTTAAAAACTATATATTCATTCATAGCTTTCAGCCTTGACTTTTGCCTACTCAATCACTGTTTCCTGCATTAATATAACTAAAATAAAACTATAATGTCAAGCCTACGTAGGGTACCTGTGGAAGGCTTGCTACATACTGAACACTAGAGGTTCAGCTGTACAGAAGGTATTTAACATTTGCTCTTTTGGACATTTACTTGAAACAAAGATACTTAAGTCATTTTTAAAATACAGAGAATTTTTTACTGTCACACTGTGATAACCCTTCAAAACAGTTCTGATAGCAGTTTCCTAGATAATAGAAATGTTTTATATTTATGTTATCCAGCATCCTATGTGGCTGCCAAGATCTTGAAATTTGGCCAGTGATGAGGAATTGAATTTTGAATATATTTAATTTGACAATTTAAATAGCCAGGTAGAGTATAATTTTTGTTTGTTTGTTTTATTTATTATTTTTTGGTACTGGGGATTGAACCCACAGACTCACACTTGCTAGGTGGGTGCTTGTGCCACTGAGCTAAATCCCTGGCCCTAGAGCATAGTTTTTAATCAATTTACAGGGAATCTATTGATACCTTCAAATTGATATCAGTTACCTATAGAAGTGTGTCACTTTTGCAGATTCTCAAAAATGAGTAAGAATAGAAGTAGAAGCCAAACAAAATTAGAGTTTCCTAATAAATATCAGATCAGCTTTCCCCCTCTTTGGTGAGAAATGAAACAGCACAGTGGGCATTCTAGTGGCCTCTTCGTGCTCTAATTTCACTGTAATTAAAATTTGCTTGAATATTGGAATTATAATAGTTATGAAGCACAGATTATCTTTTGGCTGGTATTGTGCTGGATGCGTCTACATGTTACCTCATTTAACTGTTCCGACAACTTTAAGGTGTAGTTGTTACTGTCTTTATTTACTGAAGAAGAAACAGAGTTGGTATGGGTAGGTGATTTGCCTGCAACTAAAAAGCTAACGAAGCTGGTGGATCTGAGATTTTGCCCACATGCATATGATGTTAAGCCTGTGTGTGACTGATGCTCACCACCGGAATAATGGCAAGCGCTTGTGCTTTAAAAGAAGCTAAGAAATACATCTGTTTTTATATTTAAAATACTTGTAGAAGGAATTCAATTTAATACAATTTAGTAGGTTAATTATTTACTCTTTTATTGTTGAGAGGAGCTAAAGGCAAGTTTGTCTCTTACAACCTACCAAGAGAAATAAACTTAAAACTTCCTAGACTACTTGGTATGTAATGCTATTTCTATTAGTATTTGCTTTCACTGTTCCCTGGCATTCCCTAGTCTGTCATACATTTTATCATTAAATCACGTCTTATGCTTATGGGTTGCCAATACATCTAATAATCTTAAATAACCTAACTTGTAGGAAGGGTTTCAGTACTTTCTGTCAATTTCTTAATGTCGTACGCATATAATTATTGATAGATCAAAATTTTGTTTTAAGAATTGTATTTTTCCTACTAAAAGACACTTCAAACATTTGTATAAAACCTACATACATGGGGAGATCCAAACTATTAAAAAATACGTAATACAAAACATCAAACAATATACCTTCCATTTATTTTCTTGTCAGTACTGTCAGTTTATTGAGCAAAACTGAAGTAACTTAGAAAAAAGTTGGGTTCTGGTTTAGAAAGTTTTTCGTATTGTTTTTTGTCTCTTCGGCAACCCGAGGGGCTTTGTGAATTCATAGATTTTAGGAAAAAATGAGTCTAAGAAGTTTCAACATTAGTTTGCAGCTACTTAAATTACTGACCTTTTAGTATTATGATGACTTGGTTATTAAAGCCTACATCTGTATTTTTAAAACTCCAACTACATTCTAGTGTCAGACTCATCTATATACACATAAATAATAATTCTCTATAATAGTTATTTATATAACTTAGAGACTGAATTACTTATTTAGGTTTTTATTGCTTGTCTTTGCTACTCAAAATACACATTAGATGTTAAATTTTGTTTTGAATATTTCTGCTGACATTAGTAAATTTCATGTGAAAAAGATTCTTCAACATTTGATACATTTTGAAGTTTACTGAACTTTAATAACACAACACAAATGTAATTATCTTTTGATATGAGTATAAAAATGATTTTATTTTTAAGTTGGGTTTAATCAGTTACATTTCAGCTGTTAAATTCTTTTAAAATGTATAATATGCAGAGTTCTTTTCTTTTTTTTTTTTTAATCTTTTTATCGGTACCAGGGGTCGAACTCACGACCGCCTGCTTGCAAGACAGGTGCTTATGCCGCTGAGCTAAATCCCCAGCCCCCAGAGTTATTTTCTTTCTTCTAAAGTTAAATTTTTGGTGTTTTCTGTACATTCGTGGAAACTAATTTTTCAAATGTAGATGAATATTTTAACCTATGCTTTTCAGAATTAAACATAAAATAGTGAATAAAATGCATTTTTATGGACCTAAATTTTTAAGTGCGTGCTAACATAATTAAATTTTCATTATTTCTACTGATTAGGAAGACTTCTCAGCTTAAAATCATGACTTCCATAGTGGCAACTACTAAAACTGACTTGCGCTTATTTTGAGGGCAAGGGTTTCTTTCTCTGTTGTCATAGATCTATTGCCTCTTACTGTCTTGTTTGCTGGTTGTTTGTAATTTGTTGAGTGGGATGGGTGAATATCGCCATAGATGTATATGTATATGTATATGTATATGTATATGTATATGTATATGTAGGTGTATACAATTAAAAAGTTGGGCTTGGCAGTCTGTAAAATTTCTCTTTATACAGTTAATCTTCTCTATCCATAGGTTCCGTATTCATAGACTGAGCAAACCATAGACTAAAATACTTGAAAAATAATTGTGTCAATGTCAAATATGTACAGTCTTTTTTTCCCTGACTTTATTCTTCAAACAGTAGTTTAATGTCCACATTTCCATTGTACTAGACAGCTTAATCTAAAAATGCTTGAAAGCAGATAGGAGAAGGTGTGTATACGTCATATGCACATACTGTGTCATTTCCCTAAGGCATTTGGGCTTCTGGAGTTTGCTCTCTGTGGAACCCTGAAACAGGGCTCCATGGACACCGAGGTGGCTGCATATGTTTTTAATTCTTAAATCTGGAGTTGCTGCTTGATGTCATTTTCCCTCCTTCTTTGACTCTAATACCAAACTGGCTGCCAGGGTATTTTGTGTATCTTAGATACTGCATGAAAGTATGTTTAAGGAATAAATGAATGAATGAATTATGCCAAAATACAGAGGCTAAAAGTAATGATTTTATTATAATATTTGTGTCTTTAAAAATCATTAAATTAGATGTATTATATTTGCCTTAAAAACCTTAGATTATATTATTATATGTCTTCATATGTCTTCTATTTTTCTTGAGTTTGTAACTCTGATAGGAAACATGAATTCTTTTACTGTGGTCAGGAATTAACACTGATTAGCCATTACCAGTGCCTTGTTGTTTTAAATACATATTTGAGTTGCCCCTTTTACTTTCCCTCCATAAATATAGTCAGAACATAAATTCTTGCAGTTGTTACTGATACGCTTTAAAAATAACTTGTGGTTGAATGGGTAGTGTGCACTAAGTGGTAAGAAAATTGATTTTGTTGAAGGATTTTAGGAAGGTTTCATGTTTTTTGAAGGTTTGAGATAATACAGGTTTGTTTCTTTTTTTCTTTTTGAAGGTTTGTAATATGAATAGAATTTTTTCTTAATATTTCATTCTCAAAACAAGTGAAAAAGCTCATTTTGTTCTGAAAATAATTGTATTATAATCATGACTTACTCTGTGACCCTAAGCAAGATTATTCTTAAATCTTTCTAAGTCAGATTCCTTTTCTTTGATATACTTTAAAGTCTGGAGATAATCAGATGGAGTAGGAAAGTGCCAGGGCATGAGAGGGCATCAGTGACTGGGGCTTAATCCTTCGGGGAGAAACAGTGTGAAATCACACCTCAGCACTAACCCACGAGACAGGTGGGAACAAGGGTAGTTCCCATCAACTTCTGACTGCAGGCGGCTCTGGTCTGCCAGTTGAGTGGCCAAAACAGAGTCAAGCAACAGCAAAGAAAAGAAACCCTTGGTCAAGAAACGTGAATGTTGGCAGCTGGGAAATCAGGTGTATTGAACAGGTTATATATAAGAGGATGTGGATGGGTTACCAGTAAGTCAGCTATGACCTGGTAGGAAGGTCTTAGAACTCCAGCCTGGTCTTTCATATCACATAACTGCCTCAAGTGCTAAGGAAAGATACCTATCATTTCCCCAAATTAGTCTCCATAATTGTTAAAATTTTTTTGAATTTTATTTAGCAGGCTTGAAAAGGCAAAAAAAAATTTTTTTAAACCAGATTTAGGCTTTCACCAAAAAAAACCCTCAAAAGACAAAAAAGAATTATTTAAGTAGAGTTGTTGGGTGAATCCTTTCGGATTGAAAAACAGAAAAGAGCAAAGTAGCTTCTTGTAGGCCCACAGAAATGAATACTCATAGGTTTATTACTGCTATTTTGCCGTTGAGCAGGAAAACAAAATAAAGCCAACAAGTGAAGTATCTAGTATCTCGCTGATGAATAGGATAACTAGGAACAGGAACTCAGTGTGAGCAGAGAGGCTGCTAACTTTCCGTTTGTTAAGATGATAAACAAGAGTACCTTTACATTTGTATAGTGTAGAGTTTACAAACTGTTTTCACGTTCATCTCTTATGCTATAAACTGATGAAGTAGGTGAAACAAGTTTGATTTTAAGAAAAACAAGACGAGGGGCGGGGGATTTAGCTCAGCGGCATAAGCGCCTGCCTTGCAAGCAGGCAGTCGTGAGTTCGATCCCCGGTACCGATAAAAAGACAAAAAAAAAAAAAAAAAAAAAAAAAAAAAAAGACGTTAAATGGAAGGCAATTCTGGAGAATCTGCAATGGTATTTGAAAAGTGCTTTCCATTCTGTAGGGAAGAAGTAGCACAGTGAAGGGAGGAACTTCAGAATTATAATCATGAAGTGGGTTAGCTTTAAAAATGATAAAATGTACTGTGTGAGTCCTTTGAGGAAAAAGTACTTCAATTAAATGAGCTCACTGGATTTTAAGATGTGTTCTTCTAGCAGGGTAAGGTGGTGATCTTAGACCATGTGTCACCGACTTGGCTCAGTGTTAGACTGAATGGCACACCTGAAATTTTGGCTTGTTCGAACTAAATTTTCAGGCTGTTCTGTTATATCTAAATACTTTGGATGGATTAGGACAAAGTTAAGTCGACTGAAGCATTTTTAATATCTTAGTGTCGAAAACAAAGCAGAAATCTGCTTGTTTCCTTAAACTAGCCAAGAAGTTAAAGCATTGCTGTGAAAATGGAGGCTTTGATTAAAAAGCACCACGCTGCTTACAGCTGTATGAACTTCTTTAAATGTTGAAGTTACAATTCTTTCCTCTTTACCCCAACACAACTGAGGATGATCAAGTTATGACAGTGTTGATTACGCTGATTCTCACAGATGGAGACAAGTGGAGAAACTTACCATCTTTCTGGACCATGATATTTCAAGTGCTCTATAGGCGGCAGAAGTAATTTTTCTTCAGACTGCTGTACATAATGTGTATCCCTTAAAAGTCCTGTTTACCTTCAGTTTTAGAAACACCATTTTCACAGGAGAAACAAAATAGCAGTCCTAGAGGATAAGGGGAAACAGGATAGGAAAGCTCCTTTGGAGTGGTTCTGCAAGTTGTGATTTTGTTTCCCAGGAGGAAGTCCTCATAAGCATTTGCCTGGGTTACAGCTTAGGAGGGGAGAGCAGCAAAACAGCAGGAGATGCTAGCCCTTCTCCCTCCCTGACAAAAGCTGAGATGCAGTCATCTACCCGTGGATAGCCCCCACCCAACCCCGGAGAGCATGAGGGTCCAAGAAGGGACCTTCAGGTCACAGTGGAGGAGGGGGTGAAGCAGTGTGACCCACTGCACGGAAAGGACAGCTGGGGAGCGGGGCTTGTCTAAGGCGGCTCTCTCAGTGTCAGGCATGCGCTAGGTGCCACCCCTGCCCCATCTCAGGTGTGTGCCCCAGGCTGGTGCTTTGCTGGGTCGCTTACTTGAATGCCAGACCCTGGCTTTGTGACCGTGTTCATATGACCACATATGACCACATTCACAGCCTTGGCTTTGTGGCTTCCCAGTGTGCACCTTTGCCTCAGACAGGAGAGCTCCTAGCGCCAGCCCAGCCAGAGCCCTGGAGTCTGGGTGGCTCTGTGCCCGCCACCAAGGACACACAAGGAGCTAGCTGTGGCTCAGGAGTGCCTTCACTGTGCTAAGTTTCACACTGTGTCACGGACCATTATCAACGTGGTAGTGGATATGCTTGCTCTACAGGCGTAAGTGTGCCCTCGGCCCCAGCCTCTGAAGGTGTGGCCCTGTACTGCCCCAGCAGTGTGACTACAGAGGCCATGCACTGCACATCACTGTCAGTGCACAGTGTGGTCCCCTGGACCCCACTTCCCAGATGGGGGAAGCAAATCAGGAGGCCGGAACGGCATTCAGCACTAAAGGCCCCAGCATGCCCTGCATAGCTGTGGACACCCAGGGTTCTGTATGCTGGGGGTACCTGCTGTCTCCACCCATGCTGTCCTCAGATCCGACGCTGCACACACTCCCATGTCTTCACTGAGCCCGCTGTACCTTCACACACGCTGAGGCCAGTGTGTAACAGGTAGAGTCGACCAGTGCTCCATCTCCTAACGGGCATCAGCGCAAGGCAGCGTTTCACCCCTGGAAGAATAACTTTCCAATAACAGACCCCAAGAGGGAAGGATTTATGAATTCTCTCACGACAATGAAAAATAATTGTTTTTAAGGGAGCTCAGCAAACTGTATGAGAAGACAGAGATGACTCAACAGCATCAGGAAACAGTACATAAACAAAACAAGTTTAAAAGAGATTAAATAAAAAGGTGGCTGGCATTCCATTACTCAGAAAATTTGCAGACCAATAAAAAAAATAAGGGGGTGTCCTAGTTACTTTTTACTCGTCACTTTGACAAAATACCTGAAGTCCAAGTTGGGAAAGGAAAGGTTTATTTCTTACAGTTTTTGGAGGTTTCAGTCCATACTCAGTTGGCTCCAAGGCAGGCTGGCATGGCTGGGCTGCAGTTCATGGTGGCTGCAAACAGCAAGCCAGAACCAGCAAAGAGAGTAAGACACACCTTCTTCCTGCCATTACATCCCATCCTGGCTCCACCCCTATGTGGGTGTAGCACTGACACCATCAATCTAAGCACTAGACAATGAACAATCACAAATGCACAATGCAAACTCATGAGGCCTGGGACCACAGACATAAACCATGACAGGGGGTGACACATTCAAAATACTAAAAGAAAATAAATTTCCCTATTACACATAATCTGACCAGTAAAGTGATCCTTCAGAAGCAACAGAGAGCTGAGACTTCATCACAGAAGCTGAGGGCCTCAGTCATCTGACTGCCTCTCAGGAAATGCTCAGGGGACTTCTTCAAGCTGAGGAGAATGCTGAGTAGTAACAAGAATTCACATGAAGTTGTAAAACTTGCTGGTAAATGTAAATGTACTTCAGTAACAGTGATATGAAAATTATGCTAACATGTCTACTCGGATGGTTAAATTACAAAACTGTTTAATAGCTAATAATTTGCTGTTCGGCACACAATCTAAAAATGTGGACTGTGTTTTGATGCAGTCAGAGTTATTATTGTTATGATTTGGATATGATTTAAGTGTGTCTCCCTGTTGGAAACTTAGTTCCCAGTTTGGTGATAGTGAGAAATGGGGTGAGCTTTCATAGGTGGAGCCTTGTGGGTGCCGCCTGTGGAAGGGATTAAGGTAGTTATCATGGGACTTAGTTGCTGAAAGAGGATTGATGAGGAAAAAGCAAGAGTGGCCCCGCACTTTTGCTGCGTTGCTGGTGCTGCCTTGCTGGCTCCCCATGTGGTGTCTCCATCATTCATTCACACTCTGCCATCCTGGGAGTCAGTCCAGAATGGTGAGGCAGCCAGGCTTTCAGTCTCCAAACCAAGCTACACAAATCTCCTTTCTTTGTGGAGTATCTTGCCTCTGATACTTCTTTAGAGCGATAGAAAATGGAAGAGTATAGTTGTTATCACTTTAAAATACAGTCATACCCATAAGTTGTATTTTTGTAAGCCTCATGGTAACCATAAAGCTAAACAATAAATCAAAACCCATAAGCCATAAACTATAAAACCAAAAAGGGAAAGGATTTGAAACACACCACTACTGAAAATCATCAGTAAAGGAAGACAAAAAGACAAAGAAAGGAACATAGAGTCTACGTTTTAAAAAATGTCATTGTCCTTACTCTTACCTCCTGAATGTAAACTGATTAAATTCCTCAGTCTAAAAACTAAAGTTGCTGAAAGAACTGAAAAAAATCCAAGCAATTCAATTCAGATTTAAAGACACACATTACAATCCAAGCAAATAAATCAAGAAAGATATTCCATGCAAATGGAAACTGGAAGAGAATAGGAATAGTTACAGTTCTATGAGGAAAAAGTACACTTTTAAAAAAGTATAAAAAGAGACAAATAGGTCATTACATTTTGGTAGTGTCCAAGCAAGTATAAATTGTAAATATATACTTAACTATCTAGATATATAATAAAAATAATAGTTCTGAAGAGAGTGCAGATTGTGGTATGGTAACAGAAGAAGACTTTCAACAATGGATAAACCATCTAGATACACTTAAAACCCAACGAATGTAATAGACATATGCCGAGCATCCCATCCATTAACAGCAGAACACACATTGCTTTGAGGTACCTGTGAAAACCTTCTCCAGGATACATCATGTGGTGGGACACACATATAAATCTTAGTAGACTTAAAAATCAAATTATATCATGTATCTTTTCCAGCTAAAATTGTGTAAAGTCAAAAATTAATACTAGGAATTTTTGAAAATTCACAAATAAAACAACATGATCCTGATACGCTAGTAGATTAATAGGTAAAGAGCAATTTTAAAATACCTTGTTATACAAAAACAGAAAATCCAACATACCAAAATTTATGGAATGTAGCAAAAGCATCTTAGGGAAACTTACAGCAATTTAAGAAAGGAACAAAGTTTAATGACATAACACAAGGAATCAGAGACAAAACAAACCCCTAAACTCAGAATTAGTATAAAGAAGAAAATAACAAGGATCAGAGCAGAAATCAGTGAAAGACAAGAAGACAGAGGGTGGAAAAAAAAAGGCAGCTTGCTAGGGGGCTGGATGAAGAGCCTCTGTGCAGAAATCAGATCAGATGCTAGAATTTGACAACATGGAGAGGGCCAGATGGATAACAATCCTTATTAACCAAGGCGGTAGCTGAAAGGAAAAATAAAACTAGGAAGAGGAAGGAAAAGCACAGGTGGAGAACTCAAACACACGCTTACTGAGACCCGTTCCATGCTGTACTAGGTGCACCCGGGCAATCCAAAGTTGTGCTGAGACCGCAGCTGCTGATGACAGGAGTTGGCAAATCCCAGGCCCTTACTAGGAGGATGCGGCGCAGTGAGCAGTAGATCCAAGGGGAAGAGCTATATTGGCTCTCAGTGACTGCTGGAAATTGGATCCCAGGGACCCATGAAGCAGCCAGAGCCACCTGGCCACGCTGGAGATCACGAGAGGACCATACACCTGGGGGCCAAAGTCGTGCACTGCGCAGTTTTCTGACTGATCTGCGCTGAGCTCAGAGCGCAGTGAAGACATGTGACGCAGTGTGCAGTGGATCCAAGAGGAAGAACTGCATTGATTCCTGGTGAGTGCTAGGGATTGGGTCCCGTGGCTGCTGTTGCTGGCTGGAGGACATCTTGGAATTGGGCAGAGTCCGGTGCTGTGGCAACGTCAGTAGGCTGCCCCTGACACAGAGAGGACTGGTGGAGGACATCTTGGAGTTGGGCAGAGTCCAGTGCTGTGGTGACATCAGTCAGCTGCCCCTGGCGCAGAAAGAACTGGCAGGATCTGTTGGAGCTGAGCCACACCTCTGGTTGGGACCCAATAAGCAGGTACAAAATTGTCACGACTCTGTGACATCCACAAGGTGCAACCTAACTTGCAGATTGACTGGCTCAGAGGCTCGAGGCTAGCCTGCACTGTCCCTGTATCCCTGCGTGTACCGCAGATAACAGCAAACTGGAGAGGGGAGCAAAGCCCCAGTCAGCATGCTTCGGAAAGACCCTAAGCAATATGGAGAGGGCCAGAGACCCGCAGGACACACCAGTCTGAAAGAAACCAGAAACATGACAAGAGATAGAAATAAAAAAAATCTCCAGCTGCTGAACATGAGAAAATAAGCCCAGGAGAAGTAAATACAGAAGAGAACTAGTGCAGTAACCATCCAATACTAGACACAGCATCAGCGGACATAAAGAAATGTCTTCACGATCTCATAGATGAATTTAAAACTACTTCTGATCCAAGTGAGCAACATATAAAAAGACTGAAGAAATGATAAGCCCCTTCCAAGAGAACACAGATGGGAGAATGGAGGAACTCAGAAAAGAAAGAGAAACCTTTGATGAAGAATTTAAACATAACCTAAAATACATGAAACAGATCCAAAGAGATTACCAGGAAACTAAAAACTCCATTGAAAACTGGCAAAATGCCTTGACAGAAACTAAAGTTAGCCTTTTGAAACTTGAAGACAGATTTATGATACATGATCATGAAAGAAAAGATCTCTTGAGGAACAGAAAGAAACAATTCAAAGGCTAGAAGATGACAAAGGATATATAACTTAAGAATAAAACACGTGAGTGAAGAAGCAGGAGTAACCAAAAATGAACTATAAAGACTATTCACAGATATAATAAAGGAAAACTTCCCAAGCATAGGAAAAAGAAATGATATCCAGATAAATAAGGCATATAGAACTCCAGCCACCAACAACCAAAACAGATCTACACTCAGACATATTAATAACATATTAATAATAAGATTCCAGAAATCTACCACAAGAGCAGAATATTAAAAGCAGCCAGGGAAAAGAAGCAGATTACCTACAACAGAAAAATTATCAAAATAACAACAGACTTATCAGCACAAACTCTCAAATCGAGAAGAGCCTAGGGGGAAATAGTCCAAGCCCTGAAAGAAAATAATCTACAACCAAGATTGATGTACCCAGAAAAACTCTCTCTCATAATTAATGGAGAAATAAGATATTTCCAAGACAAGGAGGAACTGTGAGAGTTCATGGGTACCAACCCAACTCTACAAAAAATACCAAAGGACATTCCAGAGAGAGAGAAAAAAAAATACCAGGATTCCAGCAACAGTGGCAGAGAGGCCTCAATGAATGGGGCAGACAGTGGAATGAAAGAGTAAAGTGGACAAATTATAGCAGAAAATAGAATAGCAGATATGAGGCAGAGATGGTAAGCTATAATCTTTAATATAAATAACCTCGATACACTAAAAAAAGAAACAGAGTAGATTAAGTTAAACTGAAAACCCTGTATTGCTTACATTGTCTTACTATGACAGATCTTATTTGAAGCTGGTTTGTTAGACCGCAGTTTTTCCTTGGTTGATTTTATTCGAATTTAGTATGCTTGATAGTGTCAAGTCTAAGAGTAGAGGCAACTACTCTGAAGATGACAAGATATAAAAGATGTCCAAGGGGCTGGGGATTTAATTCAGCGGCATAAGCACCTGCATTGCAGGCAGTCGTGGGTTCGATCCCTGGTACCGATAAAAAGGAAAAAAAAAAAGATATCCGTACTGGTTTTGATTATTAACCACTCTCAAGTCCTGCAATGTCTTCAAAGTTGTGTTTTTATAAAAATAGCTATGTAATACTATGCTTAACTATATAAAGCCTGATGATATGGACAAGTGTATTGAAAATAACAAGAGAAAGCATAGTACTATGGTAGATCACCCAATACTGTGGTTTTATGTGTTTTTTTCATTGCATGTTTTTCTAGGAATTTGTTTTGTTGTCTTGTTATGATCTGTTCTTCCCTATAATACAGAAAGGATAGATATACATGTAGAAATTCACACATGGGAAGAATTTTTTTATACTATTTACAGTAACAGATTATATAATGCAGGATGTAATGAACAGATACTCTGAAGAAGAAGAGACACTAAGAAACCCAATGCTAATTCTGTAACATTATGATATAAAATCTAGCAATACTATTATTCACTGTTCAGAGTGATATTAGTCTAGTCTCTTTAGCATACATAAAAATAAGGACAGCTACTACAAAAAGAATGAGAGACATTATGGTAGTCATTATTGACTTCTCCAGTGTCAGGTCTTAAATACCTAAAAAGCCTTCATCATCCTGTAATGATTTGATTAGTTCTATAATATGCAGTATGTATTCAATGTGTGTGAAGATGGGGACAACTATTTGGAAGAAAACTAGAGACAATAAGATAGGCAGTGAAGATCTCCAGTGGACTTGATTTGAAATCCTTATTTCTTTAAATTGTTTCTTTATGAACTGTTCTGTTTTGGTATGTTTAATCTGACCCTCTTTAAGATAAAAAAACATATCAATTCTACAAAGTTTTTGTTGGATCATTGAGCAGAACTGTTGGCAGTGTCACTATTTGAATCTATTCATGCCACCATGAGAAAATCCCTTAGACTAGGGAATTTATAAACTACAGAGACTTAACAGTCTACAGTTCTGGAGGCTGGGAGGTCCAATGTGAAGGTACCAGCAGAATCAGCATTTAATGAATTTATTCTCTGCTTTAAAGACAGTGTCTCCTAGCTGGGTGGAAAAGATGAACAAACTCCTTTAGAGCTCTTTTATAAGGATACTAATTGTAGGTCGCAGGTAGAACCTAATGGCCCTTTGACCCCACCTCCTCTAAATGCTGTCATACGCTTCTGAAGAGGATACAGACATTGAGACTCTAGCACTCTCAATAGCTTACTTGACTTAGTACTAGAAATCCTAGCCAGTGCAGTAAGGCAGGAAATAAATAAAAGACATCCAGATGGGAAAGGAAGACATTAAATTACCTTTTCAAATGATGTAACCCTCCTCATACAAACTTCTGAAGACTCCACCAAAAAAAAAAAAAAAGTTGGAAATAGTAAATTCAATGATGGTGCCAGATACAAAATCAAGATATAAAAATCAGTAGTATTTCTGTATACAAATACATGTGTCTGAAAGACTAATAAAAATATTCTGTGTTAGTATCAAAACAAGTGAAATACTTAGAGTTAAATTTAGCCAAGGTGATAACAGATCTATAAACTGAAAACTAAAAACTTTGATGAAAATAAAATATTGAAATAGGCACAAATAAATATAAAGATATCCTGTGTTCATGTATAGGAAAAGTTAACATTGAAATGTCCACACTACCCAACATGATGTATGTAGACTCATGGAAAAATCCAAAAAGTTGTGTAGAACCCCAAAGATCCCATAATAGCAAAAGAAATCCTGTGCAAAAGAAACAAAGCTGCAGGCATGGATTTCAAAATATATCACAAAATTATAATGTTTACAGCATGTACTAGCATTAAAAGCAGATGTATTAGACCTATTACACTGAGTAGAGAACCTAGAAATAAACCCAGAGTTTATGGTCAGTTGATCTTTGACAGAATCAGTAGCAAACAAATGTGCAAAGATAGACTTTATCAATAAATATTGGACAAATCAAATATCCACTATGTGCAGAAGGATGAAATTGGATCCTTGTATCATTCCATATACCCAAATCAACTTGAAATGGGTTAAAGGCTTGAAACAGTGAAACTCTTAGAAAAAAAGTTTGATATTAGTGTTGTGGGTATGGCCTTAAAGCACAAATAACAAGCCAAAAAACCCAAAATGCAAACAAAAAAAGTCTTCATACAGCAAAAGAAACCACAATGAAGACATAGCCTACAGAATGGAAGAAAACAGTTGCAAGCTTTACATCTGACAAGACATCAGAGCTCTTTATCTTCCATATCTGAAAGATACACGGGAGTCTACAACTCAACAGCAAGAAAGCAGCCTGATTCAAAAGGAGGCAAAGAACCTGACTAGGTTCACTTTAGAAAAGAAGCAAATGACCAACAGGTATTGGAAATAACATTGAGTGTCTCTGACCATCAGAGAAATAGCAAAACCACCGCGAGGTCACGTCTCATATTGTTACAGTGGTTATTATAAGACAAAGGATTAAGAGTGTTGGAGAGGACAGAGAAAAGGAAGCCACCACGCATACACTGGGTGATAGAAACTAGCACAGACATTACGGAAACAGTACGAGTTTCCTCGGTTAAAAAATGGAACAAGCGTATAATCCACCAGTTGTCTTTCTGGCTATAAGTCCAAAGGAAATGAAGTAAGTATGTTGAATTGATAGCTACATTTCTGTATTCATATTTATTCACAATAAAATGTATAATCAGATACTCTCTTTAACCTTTAAAACGCAAGAAGTCCCATCATTAATGAAGTAGCTGTACCTGAAAAATCATTAAAACACTAAGTAAAATAAGCCCGACACTGAAAGAAAATGCATGGTTTTGTCAAATGAGGAAGTCTAAGAGAATCAAACCATAGAAACAGAGAGTAGATTTGTGATTACTTCTTGGAGTGAGGGGTGATGGGAAGATGTTGTTCAGAGTGGCACAGTTGCCTTGAGGTAGAAGCAGTAAGTTCTGGAAGTCTGTTGTCAGTAAGGTGACTAAGGTCCGCATTGTGTTTTGTGAGTTGCTAAGAAAATAAACCTTGTCTGACGTGATGGCGTGCATCTGTAGTCCCCGCACTCAGGAGGCTGAGGCAGGACTGAGACTGCGAGTCCAAAGGCAGCCTGAGCCACAGAGTGAGTTCAAGGCGTTTGAACTACATATTGAGACCCGACTCAAAAAGGCAAAAACAAACAAAAATAAATCTTAAATGTTCTCACCATTAAAAATAATACAGTAGATAATTGATATAATGATACTGATTTAGTAGTTTCAGGATACATATGTATAGGAAAGTATTCCATAAATATGTAAATTTTTGTCATTTAAGCCTTAATAAAGCAGAATATTGTTTAAATTGTAAGAATCACAATTTTAAGTTTTGTTAGATAAACCTGAACACTACAAGTACTGTTTATTTTTACTAGTGGGCTTTTTACAGAACTGATGTCATCAAACTCATTTTTAAAAACTTAATAAATTTTCATACTTGTAAGATAAAACACAATTCATAAAAACATTTTCAGTGCAGTATTTTTTCTTGGATTTCAACATACATACACACTATTTTATGTATTTTTAAAAAATGTTTCTAAAAGTGAAATGTATAATTGATTTGTATAATTAATATTATTTCCCCAATCTAAGTATTATTTTGTTAAATTGGAGGTATATCTTAAAATTAATGGCATCTTAACATCAATAGTGCCAATTTGTGCATAAAAATTAGGACAGTTATCTTTAGTGTGGTTGAAAGTATTAACCACACTATTATATTATAATATTATAAAAATGTATGTAGTTCTGTTGCACCATTTGGAAATGTGAATTAGTATGTATGTTTCCCATGTAATTGACGGATAGCAATACCTTATGGGATTTGGTTTGAATTTTTCCCAAACCTGTCAGATATGTTACAGTTTTGATATGATCACAGTCAAGCTTTGTCATGACTAAAATGGAAGTTTTAGCAATATATATTATGTAGAAAATGCTGAAAATTCTGCAAAAGTACCTTCTTATAGCTCAGTAAGTTGTTGCGTTACTGACTTCAAAAACTGCTGTGTTATTCCACTGCATGAACATCTGATGAGGCCACAACTTCAGTGGGCCAAGCTGTGAAGACTTCTTGTGTTAAAAAAAAGAAAGTGATTGATAGGCTATTTATAAATAATTTAAATTTTTATTAAATTTGCCTCTATTAGAACTAAATTCTTTTAAGGACCCAGGTCAAGGCAAGAAACAGGAGCCCCATTATATGAAGCTTTAAAAGATGGCCTGTTTTCATTTTAGGTTCAAATGCCGATAGGAAATATTTTTATAAGAATTGTTATACTGTTAGGCCTGAGGTTTTAAATTTCATAGGTTTTGTGTTATCTGGCACTATTATCACCATAAGTCATCTATTTTAATTTTCTTAGAACATGACACTGTTTAAGGATGTATGGCCAGTTGTGCTGGTGCATGCCTGTAATCTCAGCACTTGGGAGGCTGAGTCAAGAGGATTGCTATGAGTTCAGGACCAGCCTGGACTACAAAGTGAGGTCAAGGCCAGCCTGAATTACATAGTGAAAACCTGTCTCGGAGACAAAAAAAGAACAAAACACAGGAAACCCCATTGGACATTAATAGAAGAAATGCTTCTATTCGATCTTAATACTCGCCTTGTTGAGGAACAAGGGTTATTTTAATTATCTTTTACCCTTTCTTATCAGTGCCCTTTGCATTGTTTGGTAGAGCCATCACTAAGCCTCTTTTGGTGCCTAGAAACAAGTGTTCTCTGAAAGGTTTTAAATTTGTAATCCCAAAGCAGGGAGGACAGATCTCTTGCTGATGTTAGCTTTGCTTTTCCTTTCTGCGAGGCTCTTTTCCGGTATTTAGTTTGCAGTCACCGCATGGTTGTCTGGTTTCCTGAACAGAAGAAGACAGTGTTTACCTGCCTGCGCGTGCTCACACACCGCTGCGGCATGTCAGTGATCATCATTATATAAGAACTTTATAAACACGGGTAAGATATTTAACTGAGTACTGAGTTTCAACATCTTTTCTGTTTAAGGACAGAAGGCACCAACCACAGAGCTTGTGCTCCCCTTGCTCTCCTTTCTTTCCTCCTTTTCTCCCCTCCCTCCCTTCTTTCTCCTTCCTTCCTTCCTTCCTTCCTAGGAGAGGGCTTGGTAACAGACGCACATGGTTGGAGAACTAAAGTTGTTCAGTGTATGAATTCTTGTAAACTAATATCAAAACTCGGAGGGCTGCCTGACAGTCCACCGCCCTCCCTTTCCTGTTTCACTTCCTCTTAGAACACTTCTTATATCACAGCCTTGCGCTGTCCTTGGACGCTTAGAGCCTCACCCCTTAATTTGGTTTGTCTTCATGCCGAATTCCTAGTGTTCAAACCTATTTTTTAATTATCTTTTTGTTTTCCAAGTACATGTGTGGACAGCTAGGTTGTAGAATATTAAAGTTACTGATTTAGGTCAAGGTGTAATCTCCGTAAAGACAGTGAGCATTTAAATGTGAACTTGTTAAGCTAAATGATACTCATCAATAAAGTTAAGGTACATACTGTACTGTCAGAATGAAACATGGACATACAGGATTTGTTTTACCTCATTTAGTAATCAAGAACCAGACACCTTTCAAGGGGCTTATGAGACCGACGGCTCCCCTGTGCTGGGAGGCTGCTCCCGCCTGCCCTGGGGAAGCCGATCCCTGGAACTTCGCCCATCACTCCAGTCATTTTCAAGGGTGCATTCCATTAGTTTCCATATTAAGACTAAGAAGTAACCCGAATTATTTTGGTTCACATCTTACTGTCAGACTTAACTACCAGTTAGGTCAGGAAATAAAGTCCAGCTAGCTCTGGTACCAGGAGTTGGGTAGTCTGTCGTTAGGTTGGGTCATCATCTCTCCGCCACCTTGTGACTGTACTTGAGGTGTCCCGGTGTTTGAATGTGCGGGATTGGAGGCTGCACCGCATTCTTACTCAGATTCCTGCTGGTGAATATTTGGCTCTGGTTTTACTGATTGAGCTCCCTCAGATGTGTAAGTTGTTGGGTGCGAAGCTGTTAGTCCCTGGGGCATCTAGGACAAGGTCACTGCTTCTCCTGAGTCTGGCAGGGCCCCTGAGAAGTGTACACATTAGGAGCTGATGCACAGTGACGTGGCCTTCCCAGAGAGATACACACAGCGCCTCTTGTTCCCTGTGTAACCAGCGAGGCACGTGTTTGTGGAAGATGAGATGCTTTTCCTGGGCCCCATCTCACCCTCCCCTCAGGATTCTCCTGGGCAGCTCTTGGGCTGATTGTGTCAGGAAAGGAAGGTGCTGCAGGCACTGGCAGGCCTCCTCCCCAAGGAGCACCTGGCTGCAGCCATCTGGTCCTTACCTTCACGGCTTCATCCTCTACCGTCCTCCTCCTAGCAAATAGGAGTCTTCAATATGGAGAAATTAAAGTACGTATTTCTAAATAACTCATGGATCAAGAAGAAATCACAAAAGCTATAAAATGTTTTAAACTGGTGATATAATTCAGTATCATTTTTAATATCATCCAGCTATTAAATTACTGAAGTGGTGGTAATAAAAAAAAATTTAGGCTAGAAATCCTTATTTTAAAAAAAGAAGAAATGGTGTAAAGTCTGTGACCTATATTTCCCACTTAAAAATTACACAGAATGAAACCTAAAACAAATGGAAGGAAAAAAAAGACAGAATAAAAATCAATATGGAAACAAGAAAAAAAGATACAATCAATAATGAAGCAAAAGCAGTAGAGAAAATCAGTGAAACTAAAATACAATTATTTGAAAAGATTGAATTAATTTACCCAGCTAGATGGTCAGGGAAAAAAATGACCAATAGCAGGAAAGAAAAATGTCATTCACATATTACACATATTCATAGATAAATCAGGGAATAATATGAATGACTGTATGCCAATAAATTTGGACCAAGTAGGCTAATGATTCAAGATATAAATTACCAAAATTGCATAGCAGAAACAGAAAACATAAAATACCTTCCATCAACCAGAGAAATTGAATTAATAATTAAAAACCTTCCCACATGCAAGTTCCAGGTAGATGGCTTCACTGATTAATTTTATTGAAATTTAAGTAGATACTTCCAATACTATGCAAGTCCTTTCCAAAAAATACTCCCATCCATTTTATAAGCCAGCATTAGCTTGATTCTGAAACTAGACAAAAGTTTTAATAATAGTAGATCCATATATCCACTTTTTGTAGTCATTAAAAATATGTAGCGAACTATCCAATTACAATCTAGCAAAATTTTTAAAAAAATACATCAAGGCCACCCATGTATAGGTTGTCGGAATCAATATTGATTAAATATACAAAATCAAAGAAAAAAATGATAATTTTCTTAGATACCAAAACAAAATACTTGACAAAGTTCAAACTGACTTATGAGTAGAATTAACAACAAGCTGTAAATAGAAAACAGCTTCCTCAAAATGATAAATGACATTTCCAGAAACTTGATAGCCAATATTTTATTACAGGTGAAAGCCTAAATGCTATTTTTTGTAGGATTTGGAAGAAGTTCCAATGTAACAAAAATGTATGCTTAATATTTTTGAACTGTTAATTTTTCTACTGTATTTCAACTTAATAAAATAGTGTTAGCCAACAGAATGTGTGTCTATGGTGCTAATTGATCATGGAAATAATCTAATAATAGATTGCATAAGATGTTTATAATGAAGCCATATGTTTATTTCTGGATTTAAAATTTTAAACATTTACCAAGTCAATCTTTTTTACCTTCAAGAACCATAGACTTAACTCCAGTTATAGAAATCAGTAAGATCGTATTTATAACAGTATCCATTGAACCATTGTGCTATATATGGGACAATATAAATGTTTTTTTCTGGTTTCTATCAATGGTGAAATGAAATTTCTGGAAAAAAAAAACAGATTTTTAGACTTTTTAAGTGAATTTTTGTGTTTTGCCATTTAATAGTTATTTCCCATCGATTGCTTTGAAAATTTTCCCTGGCAATTTGTCACACACACAAACGTACACCACACATACACACATCATCTATCATTCCAAATAACTTTTCTAATTAAGGTAGCTGAAATATTATATAATTAATCTGTACTCACGAACTATAGATTAGAACAGTATTCTTGCCAAATGATAGAGGAACTATGAAGAGTTAAGATTCAATCTTTATTTTCAAATATACATGAAAGGCTTTGTATAATTTCTTTGTTATCTCTTGGTTGTGAGTCATGTAAATCAGATTTTTAACAAGGTTTTTATCTTAAAAATTCATCAAAATTTGTGTATTTGGTATGGTTATTATTTGAAATGCAGAAAAGCATTCATATTTTTAGTAATTTTGTCACTTTTTAAAAATTGATTTTATGAAATTATGGAACAGTGATACCTGTTTTAATAGATGAAACTTACATATCCTTAAGTTGAATAAACTACACTTTGCTGCACGGACTTCAAACTAGTTCAGATGGTTTGCCCAATACTTGGCTCATGATATTGGTATTATTTGTATTTACTTTGCTTTACTGACCCTCTTTGTCTTAAGTGTTTAGCATAAATAAAGTATTACACTGCAGAAAGATTATTTTACTACTGGGTTTACAGTGTTGAATTGTGGGTGGAAAGGTAAAGAAATTTAGTGTTTTTCATTGACAAGTCTACCTGCCATTCTCCTTTCATGTTATTAGCTGTTCTGTAAAGAAAGGACTATGCTAGGACTCACAGAAGGCAGTAAGCAGCCTGGGAAACCTTGATTGGCTTTGTGTTTTGACTGGTTTTCTTCTTCACAGTGACTGCAGTACTGAATGGAAGTGGCTGGTAGACCGGGCAAGAGTTGGCAGCCGATGGACGTGGCTTCAAGCCCAGATTTCAGAGCTAGAATACAAAATCCAACAATTAACAGATATCCACAGGCAGATTCGTGCTTCGAAGGTATTGTCGTGTTTTATTTTTGTTAAATCGTTACTGTTTTAGTTTCACGACACATAATATTACACATTTTTATAAAATATAGCGACTTGTGTTCAAGAATTTTAATAATTGCTATAAATTGAAGTTATCGTTGTAAAACCTTTTTGTATTTACTAAGGTCATTTTATCAGGCTCTAAGTAATTTAAAATGTCTTTACTACATTTCAGTTAGTAGAAATTAATATATCCCCTCATTTTTTTTTTTAAACCTGTTCTTACTATGTTGACCTGAAACTGTAGCCAAGGTCGGCCATGAACTCTCAATCCTGCTGTGTGCCCTGCGCCACTATGCCCAGTTCCCAGATTTTTTTAACTGCGGCAAAATATACATAACAAAATTTATCATCTGAATGATTTCTATGTAACATTTTAGTAAATCTAAATACATTAAAAATATTGGGCATCCATCTTCATATTGGTTATCAACATTTTAATACTGTCTACTGATTCATAAATGTGGGGTGTATTTTAATTTATGTGTATCTTTCAGGAATGTTTTGCATTTTCTTTGTACAAATCTTTAATCTCATTGGTTAAATACTTGCTGTGTTTATTCTTAGGCATTTTATTAATTTTGATACTATAAATGGAATTGGGTTGTAATTTTCTTTTCAGTGTTCATTTTTAATATATAAAATGCAACTAGTTTTTATTTGTTGACTTTATATCCTGCTACTTTGCTAAACGAATTTATTCTAACAGGTTTTTTTAGTGAAAAATTGAGAGTTTACTATTCATAAGCTCAAATCACCTGAAAAAAAATAATTTTCCTTCTTTTTTTACAATGTGGATGCTTATTTATTTTCTTGTCTATGTGACTAGAACTTCTAGCGCTGAATGGAAGTCGTGAAAGCGGCGTGCTTGCCTTGATCATAGATGAAAAGCTTTTAATCCTGCACCACTGAGGAGGATATTCCTGTGGGTTTTTATGTCTCTCTTATTTATTTATTTATTTGTCTTTTTTTTTTTTTTTATCAGTATCAGAGATCGAACTCACGACTGCCTGCTTGTGAGGCAGGCACTTATGCCGCTGAGCTAAATCTCCAGCCCCCATGTCTCTTTTACTATACTGAAGGACTTTCCTTCTGTTCCTAGATTGTCAGGTTTATTCAATCATAAAAAAATGTGCTGGGGCTGGGGATTAGCTCAGCAGCATAAGCACCTGCCTTGCAAGCAGGTAGTCGTGAGTTCGATCCCTAGTACCGATAAAAAGGAAAAAGACAAAACAAACAAACAAAAAAGTGCTGACTGTGGGCGTGGCGCTGTACAGATTCACAGCTGTGCTGGGAGAGGAAGGCAGAAGGCTCGCTTGGGACCAGTTAGTTGTTCAGGGTGCCATAGTGAGACCTTTTGCAGAAAGAAAAAAGTGTCAAGCTTTGTGAAAAAACATGGTTTTGCACCAGTTGAGATGATCATTTGGTTGCTTTTCCCTTCATTTTGTTAATGTGGTACATTACACTGGCTTTTATCCTGAGCCATAGTTGTATCCTAGAAATAAATGCCACTTCGTCGTGGTTTATAATCCTTTTAATGTACTGCTACATTTTGCCTGCTAATTTTTAGTTCAAAATTTTTACATCAGTGTTCATGAAAGATAATTGGTCTATATTTTCCTTTCTGCTTTACTTTGGCATCAGAGTAATGCTGGGCTTAGAAAGTATTCTTACCTCTTTGATTTTCTGGGAAAGCTTGAAAGAACTGGTAGTTTTTTAAGTGTTCAGATTTAGCAGTGAATCCAGAGCTTTACTTGGTCAGACTTTTGGTTACTCATTCAGTCTTTGTGTTAGTCAGGTTCACGCTGATAAAACCAGCATAAAGGGGGAAAGATTCACTTCATGTTTGTGCTTTCAGTAGTTGTGGTCCATGGCTTCACTGTTTGTGGGCCAGCGATAAGTTGTCACAGTGGAGAGGAAGCTGTGAGCTCATACCTGCGGGGAGCAGAGGGACAGAGGGAGGAAGAGGAAAGGAGCGTGAGGAAGAAAGGCAGGGAAGGAGGAAAGGAAGAGGTCTGGGTAAGATACAGATGCACCCCTTCCAAAGTGCACGCCCTGACCTGCTTCCTCTACATAGGGTGAACCTCTTCAAATTTCCCTCAGCTTAGGATAATGCCATCCAGTTAGGAACCGGCTGATGAGTCCCGCGATCTCCTCGCTGCATCATGTTCCCAGAGCCTCGGCTCCTAAGGCTGCTGCGGTGGGGGTGGCAGTGGGGGTGGGGGTGGGGGGCGCCGAGCCTTCAGCACAGGACCCTGGGGGATCTCTCCAGAACCAGACCAGGCTGGCCAGCACACTTCTCTCTCTTTGTGCTTTACAGCATCCTTGCTGGTGGAGCTGCTTGTCATTTCTTATCTTTGTGGTTTAGTTTTCATAGGTTTTGTGTTTCTAGGAATTTGACCATTTTATCTAAGTTACAAAGTTTTATACATACTGTTACTCATTACATTCGGTCATTCTTTTTATTTCTTTAGAATTAGTAACATTATCCTTAATTTCCTTTCTGGTTTTAGCAGTTTGACTCTTTTGTCTTTGATGTCTTAGTGCATTCAGCTAAAGACCTGTCAGTTTTGTTGATCTTTACAAACATTTTTAGTTTGTTTTTCTGCATTTTTTTCTGTCATTTTAGTTTATCGAGACTGATGTTTATTCTTTCAGCTAGATTTTGGTTTAGGCTTTTTTTCCCATTGATTTACTAGGTTATTAATTTGAGAGTTTTAAAAAATATGTTTATAGTTATAAATTCCTCTTAGCACTACTTTATTGTGTCCCATGAGTTTTGGTATGTTACAGTTTTTTTCATTCATCTGTATTTTCTATTTTCTTTTGTGATATTTTATTTTTCTTTGCCCAGTTGGTTATGTAAGAGTATATTGTTTCACTTGCACAAAATTTCCATTTTTTTCTGTTATTGGTATCTACTTTATTCTTTTGTGGTTACAAAACACATTTTAAAATATACCTTCCATTTTCCATCATTTGAGATGTAATTTGTAGCCTCACATGTGGACTCTTCTTAAAAATCATTCAAATAGACTTGGGAATGTATATGCTGTTGCTGGGTAGATTTTTGTATATTTCTGATAAATCTGTTAATTTATTGTTTTAAATCCTGCGTATATTTCCTTCCAACAGTTATCAGAGGGGCTGTAAATATCTGTAAAACCACTGAGTTACTCCTTCAGTGTTCTCAGTTTCACTTCTGTTGTATTTATAATTCTGTATCTTCTAATACACTGAAACCTTTATTAATATATAATGTCTTATGTCCCTTTCAACAATTTTTAAGGTAAGGTTATTTAAAAAAAATTTTAAAAAGGAAAAAAAACAGAAAAATCAGGAAGCAAACCAAAAAGAACAAAAGCAAAACAACAAAGCGATACAGGATTTCAAACCAAAATGATAGGAATTTAACAATGGTTGTTATATTGCATATTGTTATCCTCAAAATAGTTGCTTAGGTTACCAATACAGGGACGCAAAACTGATCAGACAATATAATTCCCTTTGAGCAGTTTCTTTTCCTTTTACTATATGTACTGTAACTTTCGGATCTTATTTACTCTTTCAGTTTTTATACTGCCGAGACAGTATGGTGTTTACACATGTAAGTCTGACTTACTTGACTTATGACTGTGGCTTTAGTTGAATCCATTTACCTAGAAAAGCCTCGTTTATCCTTCTATAGCTGAGTAGTACTCCATTATATAAAAATACCACATCTTTTTTATCCATTCCTCAGTTGATGGGCATTTGGGTTGCTTCAAAGATCTGGCTATTACAAATTGTGCAGCTGTAAACATGGGTGCACATATGTCCCTGTGGTACAGTGTTCTTAATTCTTTTGGGATGATACCTAGCAGGGGAATAGGTAGGCCGAATGAGACCTCTAATCCTAGTTTTTTGAGGAATCCCCACAGTGATTTCCATAGTGGTTGCACCAGTCTACACTCCCACCAACAGTGGAAAAGGGTTCCTTTTTCCCCATAGCTCCGCCAGCATTTGTTATTTCTTCTTTTTTTTTTTGTCTTTTTCGTTTTTATCGTTACCAGGGATCAAACTCACGACTGCCTGCTTGCAAGGCAGGTGCTTATGCCGCTGAGCTAAATCCCCAGCCCCAGGTTGATTTCTTCTTAATAGCTGTTCTTTCTGAAGTGAGAAAGAATGGCTATTATACTTCAGTGTTTTTTTAATTTGCATTTCTTGAATGACCAATTATGTTGAATGCTTTTTCATCTATTTGCTGTTTGTATTTCTTCATCTGAGAAGTGTGTATTCATTTCAGATGTCCCTTTTTGAATTTAGTCTTTGAGTTTGGGGATCCTGATTTTTTTTTCCCAGTTCTTTGTATGTTCTAGATAGAAGTCTTATGTCTGAAGTACAGTGGGCTAAAATTTTTTCCCACTTTGTGGTTATTTCACTCTGTTGGTTATTTGTTTTGACGTGCAAACACTTTTTAATGACATCTCAGTTGTTAATTCTTTAAAGTACTTCCTATGCAGTTTGATTTTTGTTCATAAACTGCCTACACCTATGTCTTCAAGATTCCTACTTTTTACTCTAGTACACTTAGTGTTTCTGTTTTAATATTTAGATTTTTGATCCATTTTGGCTTTAGTTTTAGTGCATGGAGATAGTTTTGGTCTTCAGCATCTGGAAAGCCAGTTTTCCTAGTACCACTTATTAAAGAGGCTGCCTTTCTTCCAGTGAACATAGTTGGTCCCTTGTCAAAGAAAAGGTGGCTGTATATGTTTGCAGTTGTGTTTGTATCTTCTAATCTGTACAAGTGATCCTTAGATCTTTTTTTGTTTTGTTTTTGTGAGTACCATGCTGATTTTATCACAATAACTTTGCAGTATAATTTCAAGTCAGGGATTGTGATGTTTCTGCCTTACCTTTGTTTCTCAGAATTTCCTTTTCTATTCTAGATCCCTCTTGAGTTTCCAAATTAATTTTAGGAATATTTTCTCTAGATTAGTGAGGTATGCTGATGGTATTTTGATCAGGATTGTATTAAATCTGTTTAACAGTTTTGGTAATATGGCCATTTTAATAATGTTGGTTCCTCCTATCCAAGACCAAGGGATATCTCTCCATTTTTTGGCATCCTCTTCAATCTTTTTCAGAGTACTGTACTTTTCAATGTATAGATCTTTTATTTCCTTTATTAGATTGATTCTTAAGTATTTGATTTTGGGGGATGCTATTAGGTTTTTGTTTCCCTACTTTATCTCTCAGTGAATTTGTTGTTTGTGTACAGAAATGCTCCCAATTTTTATGTGTTGATTTTGTACCCAGGTATACTACTGAAATCTAGAAGTCTTTTGGTGGAGTATTTTGGGGTCTTCTATGTGGAGTATCATGTCATCTGCAAGTAATGATAATTAACTTCATTTCTTATGCATATTCCTTTTATTGCTCTCTCGTCTAATTGCTCTGGCTAATATTTCCAAAACTACATTAAATAGGAATGGTAATAATGTACATCCTTGTCTTGTTCCTGAATTTAGAGTGAAAGTTTTCAATTTTGGTCCAGTTAGTATAATGTTGGCTCTTGGCTTGTCACAGATGACTTTTATCAGAATGAGGTAAAGACCATCTACTCTGATTTTCTCTAGGGTTTTTTTTTTTTATAATCACAAGTGAATGTTTGACTTTATGAAAAGCTTTTTCTGCATCTATTGAGATAATAACATGGTTTTTGACTTTGGCTCTGTTCATGTGGTGTGTTACATTTATTGATTTGCCTATGTTGAACCATCCCTGTATCTCTGGGATGAATCCCACTTGGTCATGATGATTTGCTGCATTCTGTTTGCCAGTATAGTATTGAGGATTTTTGTGTCTATGTTTGTTAGGGATATTGGCCTGTAGTCCTTTTGTTTGGTTGATTCTTTCTCTGGTTTTGGTTATCAGTGAAATACTTGCCTCCAGGAATGAGTTAGGGAGTATTGTTTCCTTTCCAGTTTCATTAAAGAGTTTAAGGAGAATTGACATTAAAATCTCTAAATTTCTTACGGAATTCAGTTGTAAACCCATCAGGACTTGGGCTTTTCTTTGTTGGTAAGTTTTTAATTACCTTTTCAGTTTCATAAACTGATATTGTTTCTGTAGTGCAGTTAGGAAAAAAAAACTGATTGTGTTATTTAGAGTTTTTATATCTTCTTGATTCAGTTTAGATAGTTCTTATGTTTCTAGGAATCTGCATTTCTTCTGTGTTTTTCATCCTATGTGAGTAAAGATTTCTGAAGTAGGTATTAATGATTCTCTGAATTGCCATAGGATCTGTAAATATTTTACCATTTTTGTTCCTTATTGTATGAATTTTTTTCTTTTTCTTGATAAGGTTGGCTAAAGGTCTATCAGTTTTATTTATTCTTTCAAAGAATCAACTCTTTGATTTATTAATTCTTTGTATTGTTTTCTTGATCTCTGCTGTATTAACTTCTGTTCTGATCTTTATAATTTCCTCCCTTGTATGGGCTTTGGGCCTGACTTGCTTTTCTCTTTCTAGAAGCCTGAGGTGTAGCATGAAGTTGTTTATTTGTGCTCACTCTATTTTCCTGATGGCGAGAATTCGCTAAAAATTTCCCTTTCAGTATTGTTTTCATTGCATCCTATAGGTTTTGGAAAGTTGTATTTGCATTTTCATTTGATTATACATTTTTAAAAATTTCTTCTTTAATTTCATCTGTAACCACTGGTTGTTCAGGAGGGTGATATTTATTTTCCGTGTTTATGCAGTTTTTATGGCTTATTTTGTCTTTAATTTCTGGTTTTATTGCACTAGTCAGATAATATGTATGGGATAATTTCAGTTCCTTTGCATTTACTCAGCATGTCTTATGGGCTAGTATGTGGTATTTTAGAGAACATCCCATGCGCAGCGGGGAATGTGTATTCTGATGTTGGGTAGAACACTGTAAATGTGTAC